TTTTCTTTTTTTCTTTCCATTGCGACGGTAAAATTGACTGAAACTACACACGAATGCTACCCCAAATTCGACCGTAAACTTGGGCCTGGTAATGGGTGATTTGCGCTAACAATTGTTCCTTGGGTTGGTATTAACTAAGTATTTTACATCCTCCTATTTTATATTTAATTTATTTCTTACTTGGTTAATTTCGAGAATTTTTTATTATTTATTGGGAAGTAAGTGTATTATTATCTTGAAATTGAACAATCTCAAAGAAATAAAGAGGCTATAATAAAATTTAAAAGAACTGTATAACAAGAGCTCTCTTTGTGGATAATGTAAATAAATTATGTTTGTGTTCTTTGCAAATGAAACATGTACCAATTATAAAGATAGAATTAACACAAAAAGACAAAAAGAAAAAGAAAAAAAAGAGCAAAAAATCCCCAACGAATTATTAACCACGTTCAATGATGCACAGTATTTACGGTTACCAAGTACAATAAATTCAGTTTCCAAGATTTTTAAGCATTTGCTCTATATTCATGTGACAAAAATGCTAATAAAATGTAGGATGCATTTCATTAAAATTGATTCATCCAAATCCATTAAAACAGTGAAGAGGTGAATGCCAAACAAATAAAACAGACAAAAACTCGTTGAATACATTTAGTCAAATGCAACAACGATACAGTTTTCAATCAAATGAATATTTAGACAAAAAATAATAGCTTTAATAAAAGGAAAAATAATAAATTACAAATTATAATTAAAACCAATTTGTAGGTTTCACCTTTTTGCACGCGACGTTTGTGGTGTGGTGCTATTGTTGGTAGTAGTAGTAGTAGATAGTGGCATTTGGAATTTCGCGAACACGTTAGAGTTATATCTCATTTTTTTAGATTAGTTTGCCCAGGATCACTCGAAGGATTACAAAAATATTCGCTTGCTTATTCACATACAGTGAGCGCCTGCAAGCTATACGGCAGCGATATGAATACAAGTTTCTTTTCCATTCCCATATTTATTATAATTCCCATATAAACTTAAATCAGAGTACGGAAAATCAGAAAAATTTGACAACAATCCACATTTGAATTGTTTCCAAAATGCTTGTTGCACATTACACAGCAATGCCTGTGTGCAATTTACCTATATCAAGTTTACAAGAGACAGAGAAGGAGAGACAAAGAATTATGTTATTTCGTTTGAATTTCTTCAGCATGTTTGCTTTTCAGTGTATTTTCAGGTTTGTTTTTCCAAAAATTCTAAATTCAAAGTACAGTAGACGCTTGGAATTCTTAAACCATTTATTTTCACTACGCTTTGATAAGAAAACGTCTGAATTAAAACCGCTCGGCACTTCAATTCAAGCTCAAAGATTTGAGGTTCGACTCATTGTTAAAAGGTACAACTGTTTAATTCTTGTAATATTTAACATTAGAAAAAAGTGTTTCTATTTTATAATCAAACATTGGGGGGACTGAATAATATCCGATTGGATAAAATTCATTCGGATAAAGAACGATGTCAACTTTTCATATGACGAGTGAGCCAGCAGGTTTTGACTGAGAGTTTGTCTAACCCTAAATTTGTCATAACTGAGCAGAGTGCGTTTAACTCACAAACGGCACGTTTGCATCGCATGCATGATCGCAAATAAGAATTAAATAAATTGAAATGGAAATATTAAAAACGATGATAACACAAAAAAAGTATTAATCATTCAAAATAATTGGAATAATAAAAAAAATATATTTATATTTGTATCATTTGATTTTTCGGTTGAATCCTTCTATCGTGAATTAAACGTACGTTGTTTTGTTATGATAGCCGCAGGGTTTGACAAATTTGCAAGCAATGACAGCTGACTCACTTTTTGGCATTGTTCTTTCATATGGGCAAACATAGTTGCATTAAAATTCTGGGAAACAAAAACTGGACTTCTGGACGACAAGCGGACGAAACTACAGTATAAGAAATCATATTAAAACCACATGGATTTAAATTGCTTTGCAGTGTGGAAAATGTGACATGGTCAAAGGATTAATTCCAGTTTGAGTTTTGTTGGAAGTCAAGAATTATGCGGAGCTTAAGAATTTTCAGCGTCTGCTGTATTCTACAAAACAATTCATTTCATCGGTGGAATATGCAAACAAATAGTTGAAAGTGGTTGATCGCAATTAAACTAACACAGTACAACAACAAAATATTTGGTGCTGCATTCAGATATGTTTCATGAAGAGGGTTGTATAATACGTACGGCAAAATATTTCAACAAGTAACAGTTACTTGTTAACAACAACAATAACGTTGTTTACAATCAGCTAGAGTCGTGAATGTAGTATATGTACGTTTTACAGTGCTTCCCCATTTGAGCAATTTTGATTTTAAAAAAATTATTCCGGCATGCTTGGAATTACATTTTTTTGTTGCCAAGATTCAAAAAACATATTTTGCATGGAAAAAATAATGTCTGTTAAATTGAGATTCATATTTTAAAATAAATCCATTTTTGAAATTAGGGCAACAAATTAGCTCTGAAAAAGTCATTTCAAAGCAAATTAAATAATAAAAATTGTCAAGTGAGAAAACCTAGGGGGAGATTGCGAAGTTGTTTACAAGAAGAATATAAACAAATATATACGACTATGCCACCAATATATTCCAATATACTTAACAAAATACTCTGGCTATTAGAGTATTACTCTAGTTTTAGTAGTATTGATTTTTTTTTATACATTTTTTTTCTTCAAATTATGAAAATGATAGGGAAATTAGGAGTGGGGAAATAATTTAGTGAAAAGGGGGGTTGGCCCCCCTTAGGTATTAGTGGGGGAGTACCCATCATATCCAAAACCTCATTGGATCAAAAAGTGATGTATGGCAAAGTTGTTCAGAATAACGAGAGAAATTTTTTAGGGTAGCTTCCATTTTGACCCCAAAAATTGACCTTTTGCAGGGGCTGATTTTTTTCATACCCCGAACAGGTGCAATATTTTTTATCCTTAAATCAGCTTTCCCCAACCCCAATTCATCGTTCCCCATCATTTTTATAACTCAAAAAAATGAAATTTCTCAAAAAAATCGATTTAAAGAGGATGTCGTAAAGTGTAGTTGTGCCCAAAAATCGTACTAAATGTTCCATATTAACCCTCCTGCGGACAGAAAAATTGAACTGAAACCAAACTAATAAATCAATTTACTTCAAACTTGTGCATTATGCTAATGGTATCGAAACACAAATAAAAATATATATAATAGAAAAATATACAAACTATAAAATGTGTGTATGTGTTTTTTTACAAAAACCAAAATCTCACTTCAAACAGACAGTATGGGTCTGTCAGGATCACCATACAAAATGTATGAAAATCCATAGAGAGAAAATTTTCCGAAGACATTTTTTTGTCGTCTCCAAAGTTTTTCTACGAATTTAAAAGTTGAACGTTAGTGAAGATCTAACACAATAACACAACCATCTGATACGTATGATCATTGCAGGAAAATGAAATTGCAGCGTTTGAATCTGAAGAAGATTTACTTGTCGATGAAAACAGCGAAAGCGAAATTGATTATGAAAACCCATATGAAATTGAATCAGATGATGCAGATAATAATGATGAAAGTGAAATTTCTGAATCAGACGAATGTCAAACTCATCGCAAGGACGTCGATACCATTTATGTCCAGCTTCACTCGGTAGTAAATGTAACAAGAATATTTGTGTAGAACATTCAACCGTGACTGTTCTGTGTAAATAATGTGAAAAAAACGCACACACAAAACTGATTCCTAAGATTCCAATTAATCTTTCGACTATTGTTTCAATAAGTTTTCATTTTCATCGAATAAAAACAAAAATAAATATAAATTCATGTTAATTTTTTGCATTTCGAAAATATTTTCTTACATTTTATATGCTGAGAGGCATTTTTCTTTTTTGAGAGGCCCATACTGTACTGCACACAGAAAAAATTCTTTTAATAGGTTTACATATTCTGTATAAAAATGGATTTATTAGGTTTCTATATAGAAGGTTATCTTTACAAGTAAATACTCATGAATTCAATTCACGACATTCGCCGAAACGGGTTTTCATCACTCTTCAAATTTACTCATCAATTGATTAGTTCATCCATCGCCAGTGACAACAGTATTGAAACATAGCCACTCTGTTGCAATAGTAATTAGTATTTAAATGCTGTCATCGGCTTCGGAAACAACAATAAATAAGCAACCATTTTAATTAAAAATTGTCAGGGTATACCGTCAGATTTTTTGCGATGGATTTATCAGAAAAGTGTTGAGTGTTGGTACCGATGAATTTCGACTCCCACTTAGAAGTACTCCCCTTAGTTTTGATGTCGAAAATCATTGTTTCACGCTAGTGACCAATTCAAAAATATTTTTAAAATCGAAGGGGAAACATTTCATTGAAGTTCGACTTTTGATGAGAAAATCGAAAAATTGCGATTTCTATCAGACACGTCGTGTCACAAATTCAAATGTTGACATTTTTGAGAGTCACAAATTGGTCACTAAAAGATGACACCATTTATTTGGATCTAAATGTTCGCTTTGCTAAATTTCATTCAACTTCGACTTTTGGAGTTTTTAGAAATCACAAATTAATCACTAAAATACTGCATCATTAGTTTTTTGAAATTTTCTTTTATTTCGAACTTTTCAAAATTTTATTCATAGACTTTTTGGTGAATAGGCTTTTTCAAATTTAGTCCTGTAACTTTTTTTCTGGTGAGTCACAAATTCACTAAAATTATGTTAAGTTTGAGCCCAATCGGGTACTTTGACCTCCTGGGTAGTGTGCGCCTATTTTTTTTTTTTACATTTAACCATAGCTTTTGACGGTCGCGTTCCAGGAGGAGATAATTTCAAAAATTTTGAAAATTGTAAAGGAGTATGGACACTCGCCCAAATGTCGGACTATTTGTTTGAATTTTCAACTTCAATTTAATATTTAACATTTTTGATTTCATGAAAAAATATCACTTTATACACAATTCGATGCAGAATTTAATTGTGCTTCATTTCACGTTTCTCAAAAGATAGTAATTTCCAAAAATGTATTATTTTTTTCCATTTTTTCGTCATAACATCGAAAATTCCAAATGTCGGATATTCGTCGTCCAATTCTCGGCTCCCTAATCTCGACATATTTCATGCATTTTCACTACGAAACTTGTAAACTTTAAGTTTTGACAGCCCATACAAAATATTGGAGTTGAAATTATTAGATTGATATATTTTTGCTCCATATTTTATTTTACTTATTTTTCTATAGTAAAGTGGCAAAAATATTTAAAAATATTACGTTAGTTCACTGATCTAGAATATTTTTGGTTTGAATTTCACAATGATCCAAATACGACTTTAACTGTCACATCTGTCAAATCCAAAGTGTTTCACTTGAAACTTCGGTGCTTTATGTGTCGGCAATTGGACGATTTATTCCGGAATAATATTACAGTGAAAAATGAAAAATAAATATAATTGTTTTTCTTTATATTTTCAAAATTTCTGTTCAATAATTAAATTAAACTATCTACAATTCGCCGATATAATTTTTTTTCCAAACTAGTTATTTTTTCATATAAAAAAACGCATTTTACCGGCTTGTCTCAAAATGACATAGTTTAACTTTTGACGTGAAAAAGTGATAAAAATGCCGAATTTTTTTTGAACGTAATTTGTGAAAGCAATAATAGATTTTTGATTAAAATTTGGATTACAATAAAGAGATTTGATATTGATCTTTCATAATTTACTTTTAAAAATGCAATTCAAATGAATTTTCAATTTTTAATTTCAATTCACCTCTCGGTATTCCGACATTTGGTCGTGTGTCGACATTTGGCAATCTACTGTATTTTTTTCGATTTTTTTTCACTTAACTGACACATGTAGAAATTGATTTATTTCTTATTTATGGTGTACTATAATAATGCCCTCCGGGGAAAAACTCGATTTTTTTTACCTCCCTGAAAACTCAAATTTTTTGGATACACAAGGGGGTGCGGAAAAAATCGACAACATAAAAATATATCTTGTTGAGAAGATACGTAGCGGTTTACACATCATCGTGAACTATAGCGTACATGCACTATTCTCTTCACGAAAAGCTATGGCTTTGGTATTATGGTTGTAACCCTTCACTTGTTTATGGGTAGAGAGCGATTATACAATATATTTTCAATTTTTGATATCTTATCGTTTGGGTTCGAACAAATGGTTAATACATCTTAATAACTCTATTAAGCTTCAAAACACAAAATGAAATTTGGTGATTTTACAAGTGTGTTTTGTCAGAGTGGTGTCGACATCGGTGATAGTATTTTGAAACACACTTTTTAAGCAATTTTCATATGTTTGATGATCATCATCGTCCAAATAAATTTAAAAATATGTCCACTTATGTCGACGCCATCTAGCTCTTCACTAATCTGAAAATGAGTGGGGCAAAGTTGCCAGTTTTTGGGTGGGGTGAATACTTCAAAGAATTCTTGATAAGTTCGATTTTATTGTAAATACACCAAAACAATTATTTATCGTGTTCTATTCATTTTTCGGTGAAAATGGTGAATAAATACCAACAAAGCAAAAACGTTATCCAAATATTATTCAGCAAGCACTTTTGATCCTAGGGGGTAGACACTAAGGTATACTAAGGTATTTTTGCATGCTGATTCCGAATTTCAGAGTTTCATGTCAAAAAAATCATATCTTGGGGTTTTTGACCCCCGACCCCCTTGAGTCCATATTTCCTCCCTGACCATATTTCGATATTTTGCGGTAGTACTTTGATTTTAACCTTTAGAATATTCGTACTTTTCGCCGAGAAAGTACAAAAATGTGATTCATTTAGCTCTTGACATTTTAATGTGTAAACGGACAAGTAAAAAAGAAACTATACGCGTGCATGTATGTGCACAAGTAACCGGGGATTACATTGACATATTTATATGTAAACGTCAGTAGCATCTTAACCGAAAACGCCATCTTTGGTTACACACCAGTAGCTATTTCTGTGACAAAATGTTCACTTTAATTTAAAATAAAATAAAATAATTTAATTTTAATCCCACATTTTTTTTAAATCCTCATTTAAATTATTGAAACCACATTTAAAATCATTTGTTGAAACAAAATTAATTTTATTATTAATTGCCACCGATTTGAAGGAGCGAAATTGACATTACACTGTAGAGATTAAATAAACATACATACACAAGCATCACATGTACGCTTAAAGTGGTCATCACAGAAACGAAGCCGAGTATGTGCACATGTATTAGTATTTTCAAACATGTTTCGTTCCTCTGTTATAAAGTGTGATATTTGTCTGTATATATTATTTCTATATTTTTTACACCATGAAATCGATGACAATTAAAAAAATGAATTCAAAAAAATTGATTCAAGTTTTGTTTTAATATTTTACCTGAGGATTTTTCAAATAGTCGGGATTAGACTTGAACCCTTTTTGAATGTATATTAAACTATTTAATTTGAACCAACAGATGGGGAACAAGAGATGGCGTTGTCGTAGATTTAGGATTGGACAATAGTCATCATATTACCGGGTTATGCACGAGCATAGCATAAAAAGAAGAAAAAATATCATTTCTTCCAATTTGAGTCTGGAAACCGATCTCAGTTGGATACACAACACTTTATTGTCAATGTTTCACTTTTTTGTGCAATTCACTTGTTTTACTAACAATAGTTTTTTTGGAGTATAAGAAAATTGTGGCGAGATGCAAGATCTCTGATAAATAATAACTCTTTGCATATTACAATATTGAACTGTAAATATTCATTGGTTCAGAAATTATAATATTGTTTTTGATTACTAAATTCAGTCAACATTAATTATTACATTGTCACAGTGCTCTCTAATAGAAAGTCTCTATGACAAAGGATCTGTTTTGTTAATAACATTCTGTTGTTGACCAATGCATCCAAAATATTATATACTGAAATGAATTAAATTCATTACATTGAATGTGATTAACGTGTCTTGTTGTATTGTTCGACTTAATATATTCAAGCTCGAGCCATTATTAATATATTTATCCTGATTAAATTTGTCAACGTATTAATATTTTCACTTCATGATCTATTTAGTTTTATAATTGATTACTAAATTTTTGTAAGCATTATATGGAAATTTACAGAAGATTCTTGGACCAATAAAAGAATGTTGTAGATAGAGTATGAAGATGTCAATTCAATTTTGGACAAAAATATAATTCTTTTCTCGCAAAAGTAAGTCATAAAATATGAATATTTTAAGGGCATAGTTTTATAGAAAATATATTATATCTAGCGTAAAACCTTCATCGTAGAAAAATCAGTAGTGAAAAATTGACTTCACTTCTAAAATTAGCCGATTCTATCACAAAGAGATTTTTTTCTTTATTTCCCAATTTTTCAGATAGCGAATTCAATTGAGTATGGAAACTATTATAATTTAACAAAATCACCACTATCTACTTTGTTTTATAAATATCTAAGTAAGAAATATATACTAAATAACTTTTACGTTTTCTTATTGGAAGGTGCAATTTCTAATAATATCGAATTGTTGGATTGTCTTAGATAGAACCAAGGGGGGTTGACGTATATGAGATTATAGACTATTCAATGTGAGTCTCACTGATCAGCGCCATCTAACATTAGTTCGAATTAGATCGAAAAGATAAATTTAGTCTATAGCATTGAAACGAAATGGAGAAAAAAACAACAACAATAACACGGCCACACAGATCTGTGCTGTGCGTGCTGATGCATACATACACATATACGCTCTGTTCATTCTTTCATTCTACTGCTATACGTATCTCACTGGTCAACAGATCTATGTAGCCATGTTATTGTTGTTGTCTTTTTTCTCTTATTCGATTCAATGCAGTGTAACTAAATTGAGTTCAACTATTGATTGAAAGATGGCACAGATGAGGAGCATTCGCATTTTGTCTCTTCATAGAACGGTCCACTTGGATAGAACTTACGATGCAACGTATAAAAGAGGAAATAGCCTTCGAAGTTTTGGGCCATGTCACAAACAGATATTTATGTCTAACAAGCGAGACATCAAAACAATCAATTCTTGTAAATAATAACAAAATAAATTTATTCATTTCCACTACTAAAATTTAATCAAAAAATAAAAAAGCAGTTCATTGATCTTGCAAAAACATTTAGAAGTGTGGATTATATCAATGTTCATTTTAAATATCATAATACTGTATGATTTGATAGTTGCCATTGGATTGAGATTTTAATGTAACAAAACTAAAAAAATGTCAGGAAGAAACTTCAAAAATGAAGAAAGAATTTCACTATATTCGGCATATTTAATACTTTAACAATAACTACATTGACATCTGAATCTTTGTTGGGGTAGAATATGTTTAAATTTGTTTGGAATAATGTAACACCTCTAATCTAGAGGTTTTTATCTCAATCAAAACACTGTGAATATTGCGTATATTTTGCGTATATTCACTGCGAATCTTCGCAAAATATTCGTAAAATACGTACATTCAATGCATGATTCGTAAAATATGCATAGTATATGTACCATCGAATAATATATATTCGCAAACAGATAAATTCCCCTAGCCTCTAATAATTCATAAATAATATAAGGGTAAGTTAAAACAAATTTCGAAGAGTTTTCAAAAAAATAAATTAAAAAATGTTTTTGCTCTTTTTCAGAGCACAGAGAACTTGGTGAGCCCCATTCCCACCCACAATTTACACCACTGTTTATCAACTTGAATTTACCAAGTCATCAGTTATATAAACTAGTTTAGATATCTAAGTCTGTAAAATAGTACCGTCCCTAAACAAAATTATTGTAATATTGCACATAAAAAATAAGACTTTATAAAATGAATTTTACAAGATTAATTGAAGTAAAAAAATGTTAAAATTATTATTTTATAAAGTCAACACTTGTATACACTAGTGAATTTCCAAATCTAAAAACGAGTGGATTGGAAGAGGATATTTGAATTGCAACGAATTAAACTTATTAGTTGTGAATATATTAGCGAACCAAAACGATATCTTATCCACATGTGAAAAAAACATTAGTCGAAACAAGTGCAACTCTCAAGATTTCTTTTTTTTGCAATTGTTGGATCAACTTCATCTTAAAAAAATGTTGTTCCGAATCCAAAAAGAAGCAATATCTATCAACTAAATTGAAATATCTACATACCTTGCTGCCACGTTCATTAAAAATAATCTCAACGTCCAAAATTGTTCCATATTGCTGAAAAGAAATTAGAAAAAAATTGAAGGAATATTGGGATTTTGTATTTTAAATACAACTTACGCCGAACATTGCCCGTAAATCTGGATCTCGGAATCTGAATGGGATGTTTGATACGTGCAAACGCTTTGGCTGACTTCTGGAATCTGTATTTATTGTAATTATTAACTATGAACTTCAAGTATGTATTATTCAATTGTATAAAATCCCTTACTAACCAGTTACTGTGCTGGCCAGTGTATTCATTGTTGCGAGTGCAGCTGCTGTTGATGCAGAAATTGTAGTTGTATTTATCGACGATGATGGTGTAACTGTCGATGAAACTTATAATTTGAAAGAAAATTTAAGGTTAAATTACTTTTGAAAATAAAAACTGTAAACTATACTTACTTAATGTTGGTGTAGACGCAGTTGTAAGTGAACTTGATGTGGTAGATACGGCTGCAACGGCAGCTGCAATTTTGGCCTCTAACGTCTGTTCTTGCTGCGATGGTTGCTAATTTAATTAATTCAAAATATTAGTACAAGGAATTATTTGTTAAAAGAATTCATATTGTTTGTGTAAATTACCGTAGGTACAGTAGCTATGTTTTGTGTAGTCATCGAAGCCGCATGATTTTGTGCATTTTCTGTTTCAGTTTGTGCTTGCGACTGTACTTGCGATTGCTGTGGCTGACTTTGTGGTTGCTATAATCATTTCAGTTTATTCAGTACATTTTCAATGTTTTTTTTTTTTTTTAATGATAAATTCCTTAATATTATACCTGTTGTTGAGTTTGATGATGTTGTTTTTCAAGAGTATTCGCTATGCTTACCTAGGAATAATGACATATAAAAGGATAGAAATAATGGAAATTATCGCTAAGTCATGGAAGTAATGGAAAAAAATAAACGAAAGAATGGATAGCATTTCTATGCATACACTTGTCAATGGAAGCGGGAGAGATGTGGAAGCTGTTGTTTGTTGCTGAGAAACAGAAACAGCGTGAGTGGCCAGAACTGATGGACTAAACTGACTTGCAATTGAGCTTGGAAATGCCTGTGAAATGGCTGGTGAAATGTTAACAGTATTATCTGACTTAATGGCGCTCAATCCATCATTCTTGACGGCTACAGCGACTGGTATTGTGCCATCTGTAGTATTAATCGCTGGTGCAGCTGGAAATCCGGGTCCCGCAGGAAATGGATTCACACCAGCTTGTACCATATGCTAGAAAGAAAAAAAAAATTGTAAGAGAAAATTTGTTTATTAAATAATGAAATAACTTCTTATGCTATTGGAATTATTAGCTATATTTTGCTAATTTTGCAAATGAATAATTGCTCAGTGGCATCCAAAATTCCAAATAGAATTCCCTTTTGAAAAAGATTCTGACTTTCAAGGGACTTTCTTTAGGATATTAGAGGGTATGATCTAGATTTACACTGTGCACATGTATGATCATAAACCACATAATAATAAACATTTTTTGGGCTCTGGGTGAAAGAAAGACCTCACATGACAATTAAAAGTTTTGAACTGAATGGTTTTTCCTTTCCTTTCTTCAAATTTATTACCATCAAATGCAATATGCATTTCTTACAGTAAGCGTATGGCATTCACAGAGAAAATGTATCCGTATTTTATTAAATATGTGGGACAGAATTGCTTTGGCCAGCAATAAACACTATGTGTAATGTTTTGTGCGACGCGATACTTTTTACATATGTGAAAATGCATATTTTCCGCCTGGACCTAGAGAGTTCAACCCATTGACATCGTTTAAAATCCATTTCAGTTCAGTTTTCAGTTTGACATTTACATGTTTCCACACACTATAGTATGTCTTTTGGTATTATATATTTGTTGTTGTTAACTGTTTCCTTTTCTTTGTGTTGTTTTATTTTGTAAATAATACATATTTTCAGTTTTTCCTTTTTCTACAATATTGTGAACAGTGGAAATCTTTGTTCTGATCAAAGCGCCTGGAAAAAGATTTAAAATATGCTTGAATGAATTGCAATTGAAATACAATTTTCGGATGTGTTAAATGAATGGATACTATTTTTGGCTGTGTATGTGCATATGCATAAATAAACCAAGAAATAAACTGTTGAGAATGTGAAGTGTCGTCGCACATATGTGCTCAAATATTACTAAAGAATAAGCAGCTTCTGTTGTCATTTGAAGCATATGGGAACATGGTTGCCATACAGTATATACGATATGTTCTTTTTTTGTCTATAAATACACCACATGTATTTCTCTTCTGTTGAGGCCATCATCAACGCTGTCACAGATTGTGTATTAATATTTTTATTGTCTCTTTGCAAAAAAGTTTATTTGTAATACGATCTCGTCTCAAATATAATGAATGCATTGGTCTGATTGGTAAATGTATGTATCTATACATTCGATTTATTCATTGGCTATTGATATTCCATTTTGTCCTGCTGATTCCCGGAAAACTTTTGCCTCAATATTTATTCTTATTCAGTACTTCTTTTTTTATTATGGTTCGATTGTTATTCATTTTTCATAACCAAACATATACTACACTCTTATATCGGTGGTATTAATATTTAGTATTTTGGGATTTTCAGCTACGGTTAATCCAAAAGGACTAAAAAGTAATCCAATGGGATCATTTTATATTTTTTAACTTGAGTTCAATAAACACTTTTTTGTTGTTTGTAAAAAAATATCTCAAAATGAATCTTCCTTTGGAACACTGTTTCATTTCATTTACATGAAACTTCAAATGCTTGTCATTGTCATTCGATTGCAAA